AGTGGGATAATTACTGATGCTGAACAGCTTTTGCCAGAAGAGTTAAGAATGTCTGGATGAATCCATTCTTAATTTATTACTGTAATCGGTGGCCCTAACAAATAGACTGATGCTTTTTTTGGATCTCTAACCTAGCACAGTTAGTGCTTCCTTTCAGATCAGAGAAAGTATTATAGGTTCAGATTCAGACCGTTCCTGCTGCATACTCTATCACTACAGTGTTTTTAGACCTTCAAGTCTCAAAGATTATGTGAACTAAAGTCTTGGATTTCACTTGGGTCATCCTCGAATTGATTTCTTTCATTATGGAAGTTCTGTAACTGTAAAAGTTGACCCTTTTGGGTAGAGTGCCTCGCTCAGGTAGTTTAAAAAGGGACTTAATTGGTGCTGATCTTTCTCAGACGTTCAGAGACAACTAATCCCAGTGCGTTGATCTGAGCAGACGGCTGTTGATCTGGGCGTGGCTGTTGGCCAGCCGTGGTTTCGCAGCCAGTCGAGCTGCTGTTAAGGGGGGAGGTGCCTGTAAGCCGAAGTCACCTCAAGTGCCACTGTGAGGAGAGCACAGCGACTCTGTAAATGCAGACAGTACCACCTCAGACACGGAGAAACCTGCCAGCCTATCTGTGCGTCCTCTTCCCCACACCCCTCGCAGCTTCAACATCTGCTTCCCAAGCTCATTCGTCCCAAATCTACTTGCTTGTTCTTTTCCTCCACTTGTTCTGCTCCCTCCTACCCCTTGTCATGTTTGTGTCTTCGACTGTATGTCTGATTATGGCAAAGATTTACCTGTTGCTCAGCCAACCCACCGGCCGCCTCGGCTTCATTTTTGCAAGGATCTAGGAGTGCGTATGTAATGAGGATTCATATTTAGGCATATCAAGAAGCAAACCATAAATTTTGATGTAGCTCTGCAGTGCAATGCAAACCCTTTTAACATTAATGAAAACACTAGTTGACTGTGGCGTCCCGCTGGAGCTCAAGGCAGAAGTTCTCATGTGTGAATATGTTTGCCATCATTCTGGCTGGTTTAGTTGTTCAATGATATGTTCTGATTCCAGTATTCATTGTCTCGCATCTGAAATGTTTTGCTAGGCATTAATTGTGTTAATTTTCATTTGTTGTGCCTGAACTTTATTTGCTGTCATTTCACGATTTGCATAATGGCTGAAGGTCTGGAGTACACGTTTTTATGTAAAGTCTTCAAAAATGTGCTCGGCCTGATTTGATTGGAAGATAAACAGCGTGGATTTTCTTTCAGCGCTGAGAACCTACGATTTTATTTGTGTGGATGAGCATTATCTATTTTTTTTTTCTTGTCTGTAATCATGGTAATGTTCTTGCATTGCATACCCATTAGCATTGTATACTGTCCGGTTATATTTACACATCTGAGAAGGGATATTACTGTAAGATATCTTGGTCTTTCCAATTATGATTTAGCAGGTAGAGGTCGATGACTTGAGGAAATCAAAAAAACAAAAAAAAAACAATGCTTGGTAGACCACACTGACTGACTGACTGACCGATGGAGGTTTGTGTAAAGGAGTAAAAACGCTATTTATTTTGGTGGTTGGCTTTCATTTCAGCATCCTACTTTACCTTTTATTATTTCTATCTGTTTGCAGGTCAGAGAATGCTGTAAAACCATTGAAAAAAAGTAACAGTTGAAGATATTGTGTACATGTTTTCTGATGTTTTAAGAGTATATAAATAAACTGTGAACTTCAAGAATTTGATCTAGTCGTCATTATTGTCATATTTTATCTTCTAATACCACCTCTCACCTCAAATGTCTCAGGTATAGCATAACCCTGTAATGGGGAAAAAGCTGTTTTTCCATGTTATTTTCCCCCCTCCTCAAATGAAAACTCGACAGCTCAATTATTTCATTTCACTTTTAAGCAAATTCATGATAAAGACAGATTTTCATACCTGCAAACAGATGAGAAAACAGTAGGGCACAACATATAGTGAATTATTAAGCTACACATTAAATAGAGATTTGACATTTGGGAGCGGATCTCTGCTGTGCGAGTTTTCCGTCATGCTGTCAGTGTCTACGTGGTTTTGGCATAATAATATCTGACATCGCAATGGAAAAACAGCTTATCACTTTCATGAAGCTTTAATGTGGCGTGACCTTAATTTGGAACAAATATTTCATGCAAGATGCATCAATATGATCCACACACAAATTCATTAGCATTGTTCACTCTTTAGATATTTCTCTTTATATGTTTCAGTTAATCATATGTTCTGTACTTCCAGAATTAGAAGAGGGAGTTGGCATAATTACTAGATGATAATCAAAGAAAGTTTAATATTCAACTTTAAGGATTATTCACACCAAATAGTTTAAATTTGACCATCCACACTGCTGTTTTGATCTGTTGTGGTCTGTTCTTGTGTATATTTATGCATGTTTACACTAAAGAAAAAGATAATGATATTAGCATCCACACCAGAGCTCAACATTATTATAAACACTGCAGTTTATCATGAAATTTCCAAGCTTTTTAATCGCAAAATTGACCATGTATTCATCAGAAGCCCAAAAAATGTATGGAAGGTGATTTCAGTAATATATTAGATCTGGGCCATTATTGTTAAAGTTGTGACGTCGGACCTGCTATTCTTCGACATTCAGCAAATACTTTATAGATGCAATGGTGGCTGAGTGGTTAGCGCTGTTGCCTCACAGCAAGGACACTGGTTCAGATACCGGCTGGGCCAGTTGAGTTTGCATGTTCTCCCCATGTTCACATGGGTTTCCATAGTCCAAAACATGCAATATAGGTGAACTGGGTAACCAAAATTTGACATATGGTATAAGTGTGTGTGAATGCTTGTTTCCCAGTACTTGTGGCTAGAAGGGAATCTGCTGCGTAAAACATATGCCGGAATAGTTGGTGGTTCATTCTGCTGTGGCCGAAGGAAAATTAATGAAGTATTTTATAATTATATTGTAATCACTCATTCATTTTCTTTTTGGCTTAGACCCTTTATTAATCAGGGGTTACCACAGCTGAATGAGTCGCCAACATATCCAGCATATGTTTTACGCAGCGGATGCCCTTTCAGCTGCAACTCAACACTGGGAAACACCCATACACTCTTGCATTCACACACATACACTACGGCCAATTTTAGCTAACACAATTAACCTATAGCGCATGTCTTTGGACTGTGGGGAAACCCACAACAACACAGGAAGAACATGCAAACTGCACACAGAAATGCCAACTGACACAGCGGAGGCTCGAATCAGCGACCTTCTTGCTTTGAGGCGATCATGCTACCCATTGCACCACCAGGATGCCCTATATTGTTAACATAATAGTTATTTTCTTGCTGTTAAGAGGCCTTAAATTGTCTGTTTAGTCAAGAAACACTCATTTCTGCCAGAATTAACTAGGATGATATCTGTAATAGTGTCAATATCCGTGCACTAAGATTATTAGCAAACACTGCAGTTTTCTTATGTGGTCTGTCACTTTAAGTGCTCAGTATCTAAATATTATCGAATGCATTTTGACTGGCCTAAAACATTTTTTTGTATAATATAAATTTGGTCCTTGGGCTCACTCTCTAGGTTTAAAACGTGATTTCTAAAACCGAGCTAGAAAGATGACAGTAGTTTAACTTCAACCTTTACTCCATGTCAACATGTTTTTTTTTTATTAGATAATTGAATAATCCTGAATCAGGAAGGAAAAACACCCTGACCTTCTGTTGTCTTTTTTTCTCCTCCAGTGCTGCAACTCTGAAGGGCTGCTGATTGGTCTGTTTCCGTAAGCACTGCCATTGGTCATGAGCCAGTAGGATTGGAGGAGCCGCCCTCATTTGGACAAGCAGGTGTAACTGAGAAATTATTTTTATTTAAGAAAAGAATTCTATATTTATAACAGTGAATGACAGACTCTCCACCTTTTTCCGTTCACTCGCGCTGAAGCTAATTTTTCAATCCAGAACTTTTTGTTTTCCTCCACACAGGCTTTTGTTTAAACCATGAGAAAAGACATTTGCAAATACTTGGAGTTGCGGGCATTGCGGCTCCAGCACACATTAATACGCAGTTTGTTTTTTTTGATGTTTGAATTTAAAGAGATAAGTTATAAAGTAAAATAAATATATATAATGTAAAAATGCAATAAACATTGCATGTGCTACGCTTCACAGTACAAAGGATTGGGTCTTATTGTGCTTTTTTGTTTCCCTAACATCTGTGCTCCTTTATATTGAGAAATTCTGAGCCTTAAAGCAGTCTAGACTGTTCTTGAAGAGAGCTTGAAGTTTTAAATGATCAATGCAATCTGTACAGCTTTACGAATTCCTTCAACTTTCCGTTTAATCGACTCATTTTTTGTGCGCTCCCACATTTATAGATCATTTTCTAATTCTACAATAAGAATGCAGCTTTTCGATCTCTCAATCGTACGATGCTTTATCGCAGTGTTTCCCAAGCCGGTTCCTAAAGGCACACCAACAGTACAGATTTTCATCAGCTCCCAAATCAAACACACCTGAATTAACTCATCAGAACAGTCCCCAATACCTAATGTTAATAGGTCAGATAAGGGAGACGTCCAAAATATGCTCTGCTGATGTGCCTCCAGAAACAGGGTTGGGGAAACACTGCACTTTATCAGATTGTCAGCCATAGGGGGCGCCGTTCATTGCACATACTCAACCCGAGGCCTGTAAAAAGGGAATATTTTCACTCTTGCTGTTGTACATAGATGCGTTTCAGTACAATCGGACAGCTCCTCTGACTATACATATGAAGATGGTGGTCGTGGGTGTAAAATTGTTTTATTGTATTAAATGTGTATCTCTTTATGAAATTAAACCTGATTTTTTTGGGCCTTGTACTAATCTGTGTGGTATATTCTTTTTAGAACTCTGAACGCAAACCAAAAAGAGACACAACACTTTAAATGTGATCTGTCATTTTAATTAGTGTTGTCTATATATAAACAAAAACAACAACAGACGGAATGTTAAATAACAGCTGGTTTAATGTGAACGCAGGTGAGTTTGAATACTGCAGGTCACGAGGTTTGGATGGAGAGATGAAGGCCGTTATTCTCACTGCTCAGTTTCACAGCAAACGAAACACTCTGGCATGCCGAAAATCAAAAGCCACTTGACATGAGTTGATGAATGTATTTGGTCTATTCCAATGAAAACAGCTTGGGTTACTATTCTGTGACGACTTATTCTGCTAACATGGATGAATGAGTTGGTTTAAAGGGATCGTTCACTCAAAATGTCAATTAAATTCTGTCAATTTACGCACCCTTTACTTGTTCTATAACTGTTTGAGTTTCTGCAGTTGAAAACAAAATGAGATATTTTGAAGAAAGCTAAAAACCTGGAACCATTGACTTCCATAGTATTTGTTTTCTGTCTATGGCAGTTGGTTACAGGTTTTCAGCACATATTATATTCAAAACTAATTTGTGTGTGTTTGTGTGTGTGTTCGACAATAAAGCAACTCATAATGGTTTAAAAACTCTTGAAGGGGGGTAAATTCGAATTTTTGAGTGAACTATACCTTTAAACATGGAGTATGACTAGATAGTTTTACAAATACTTGAAAGGGGCAGTTTATTACTAGAATAAAAGACTTCAGATTGTTATCTGTTGTTGTTATTGGGATTCTGCACAAAATTAATGGAGTAGGATCCTGTGTTGGTGTCTTGGTTGACCTGGAAGTTGGAGGTTGAGAGACCAAAGGGTCGTAAAATCATGTTGCCCAAGTCCTTCAACTTGCCTGAGGAGAAAAAGAGAAAACTAATAAAGTACCAGACAATAATAATAAAAAAAGACTACTTTAACCAGTAATAGAAAAATGCATAAGGTCAATGAGTAACCAGGTAAATGTCTGTTCATCCCATGAAAATGCAATAAATATATTTTATGGAAATTAATGGAGTATTAGGGTGTTTTCACACCTGCATTATTTAGTTCGCTTGAATCGCACTAGAGTTCGTTTTCCCTCTTGGTGCGGTCGTTTGGGCAGGTGTGAATGTAGCAAAAGTGCAGACCAAAAAATCATACCGAGACCCTCCTTGAAGAGGTGGTTTCGTTGTGCTTTTAAATGAATCTTGGAGCAGTTAGTTTGTGGTGAAAACATGATCCAAACTAAAACAGACCTGACTGCAAAAAGTACTGCGCCTTATTAGACTAATCCAGCTGCTGTAGTCTGATGCGTTGTCTCATCTTATGGGGTGTGGAGGTAAAATATTTCATGACAGCTTTTAATCAACAATTTTAAACAGAGAGAGAGAATGAGACAGAGAGAGAGGGAAAAATATCTGATGGATCGCTGGTAATATTTCGGGAAGATGACCATGCCATGTGAAAGCATTATGTGAGCAAAATAGAAACGGACTTTTAATTGAGAAGCCTTAAAAGATGTTGTGAGTTTCAAGCTTTAAAAATGATAACAATGTCATTCTTTATTTGATTATCATTCGTAATGCTTCATGGGACTGATTTATTTCCCGACAATAAATCTGCAGTCATTTCTGTCTTTTTTAGTCTGAAAGACTGTTTTAGATTTCAAATATGACTTATGCAACCATTAAAAAAATCCAAGGTTCTTTGGTTTGAAAGGTCTCTTTGAAAGAAACCAATTAATGGACCTGACAAGAACTTTCTAACAGCAAAACCCTTCATGAAACAGGTTGCATTTTTCCAGACAACCTTCAAAATGAATACCGCACTAAAAACACTGATAACATCACACTAAATATCAGCACTCTCAGCCATAAGAGTGTTGCCGAACTGTAGAACATTCATATTTACACTTATTTTTGTGAGGTTTTACATATTTATGTTCTGAACATGTAATAAGCTCAGGATGCAAAAGTTAACAAACGATTAATGCTTGTTTTCTGATAAATCAATTACAAGATCAACCATATCTTAAAGCCATGAGATGAGTGATGGTCTGCAGATACAGCAGAGACCAAAAGTGTGCATAAATCTGCAAAATGGTTAATAATTTAAATTTAGAATTCAATTGATTTATTCATGCAATCAAAATGCATCACTGTTAGTTTGAATCCATTTACTAATGAGCCATGTTTATCATTTAATTTGGTTGGAACATTTGTTTACTCTGAAGATGCATATGTGATAAAGCAATGTTGTTCTAGCTGTACTTTTTTGCAGCGTATGTCAATGTTGTGATAATACCATATAACGAGATAAAAGCTTCAGCAATTCAAATAAGTCTGTTCTCCACTAGGGGTGGTATGGGTCACATATTCGTATCGAACCGTTCCGGTACAGGACCTATGGTTTGGTGTACAACCAACCACCTTGTAACCAATCAATAAATTGTAAAAAACACAAAATAGTCAAAAAAACAAATGGAAGACATGACATTGCTGGATGAAAATAGCCTATTTTCTGACAACCTAAACACAATTGAGACTGATATTGATCCTGATATGTTTGACTGCAGAGTTTTGTCCATGCAAGCAAAAGTTTAATTGCTTGAGCAATTTCCCCCTTAAATAAGTAATCTGTCCTTGCAGCCCATTCCTAATTTGAATATATTTGTATATTTAATTGTGAATTCACTTTTGCTTTTATGCTTTATTTAATTTACTTAAGATTTATTTTATGTATTGGAGAAATTCTATTCTATAATTGTGCAGTGGTCCCTCATTATTAGGCAGTTCAGTTTTCGTGGCCTCACAGTTTTGAGGATTTTTTTGGTGCAATTTGACCTGGTTTTTTTTCAACAGCGCAGTATTCTGCTTCTTGATTCACGCATTGTGTTCTTTGTCCTGACTGGCTGTAGACCATTGTCAATAATCTCCTTCATGCTGTGTCTCCTGTACAATACAAAATACATTCAGCTTGCCAAATCGTTGCAAATCTTTGATCGCTACTGTTCGTTTGCAAGTTTTCTCCCCACAACGATGACGAAACATTCTGCACCGTCAAAGGCACCTGCGCTAGCACCCAAAAGGCAGGAGATGTTAATTATCGCACAAAAAGTGGAACTTCTGGACATGCTAAAGGAAGGTAGAAGTTATGTGGCAGCAGGGCTCCATTATGAAATAAATGAAGATCAAATGGTTTTGATATTTGGTTTCTTTCTATAACAGGCTTGAACTTTGAGAGTCTTTAAACAAGAAAGAAAAGTGTAAGAATGTTAATGCCTGTCTGATAAAAGAGTATAAAGTGTGTAGTGAAGAGGGTTTACAGCTTTAAACAATAAAACACATCAAAACACAAAATACTAATTGTAAAAAATAAAGCTAACTACTTTGCGGATTTCGCTTATTGCAGGTTATTTTAAAAACATAACTCTGGACAACGAGGGACCACTGTAGTTTATGTTTTATATATATTATTTTTTAGCTAAACCAAGCAGTCATTTTAATTTCAACTGTTGTTATTCACAAATGTTATTATTATTAATAATAATACTTTTCATGTTTTGGACTTGAAACTTTGGACTCTCTAAAACTTACCAAACTGTGACGTAAAAAACAACATATGTGAATTTTGTGTAGTTTTAAACCCCTATTTTCCATAACGCTGTGCAATAAGTGCAAGACTACAAATGTTAGCAAAAGCTGCTTTTTTGTAATCGGTTCAATCCAGCAATTTTACTTTAAATGTTGTTTTGAGATTAACATTCTCAGATAATATGCATGTGCGATTAAATGTGACTAATTAGATTTAGCTCATTTGTTATATTTATTTGATAATTTTCACAGCCCTAATAAACACCTTATTTTTTGTTTTCTTTTTTACAACGTGTGACAGAGATTATATGTTTGATCAGGAAAAGAATGTCTGAATACATTCGACCACTGTTATGGCAATGTGATTAAATGAGCTTTCGACTACCTCTGGAAATGGACACGCTCAAATCGTTTTAGAGCCCATTTACAGCTGAATTTAGTATCATCCACTCAAAATCCATTGTAATAACTCAAAACCCATCTTAATATCCGGTGTAAACAGGGCCAGGATTGTGAATTTCCAGAGAACAAAAAACTGATCAAATAAATATATTGAATGCACTACCAGCTATAAAAAGACAGAGGATAAAAACATATTCATTGTTACCTTTAAACAAAAAATTAAGGAAATGTTAAAAGACAATAAAAAAAACACAGTCTTACTCATCATCTCTTCTTTCATCTTTTCGTTGCGCTCTTCAATTTGCCGTGGCAATCGCTGTGAAAAAGAAAGAGATACTAAAGGAAAATTCACACAAATAAGCCAGAAACTTTAAAATTCATTTCCCTTGTATTAAAGCTATGATTGAATGACATCTGACATTTGTTTTTTCTGTTGTAAATGGTTTGCTTTAATATAAGGGCTACAGCCAATACAGTCTGTTTTATGTTATGTAAAATGTGACTTATACGTCAATGCGTTTCAAGTTTGAAGTCACAAAATATATGACATTTTTGTTGTTTTTAGGACAATTTTATTCCACACCAAATCAAGAACTGGCAGGTGGAGCAAGTGCATAAATACACTTACTTTTTTTGTCTACTCCATGTAGTTCTGAGAGCTGAGGTGCGTATTTTGATTTTCTCAGATGCATCAAGGTACAGTAAGTGCGCAAAGGCCTTCACTGTTTTTTGCACTTTTTTCCCAGATTGATCAGGACTGAGGTTGATTACCATATTTGTGCAAATATTTATCTGATACCTCTTTAAAGCAGTGTTATTTAGTGGATGTTTTCATCCCCAACAATTTGAACAATACACAACAGTTAAGTAAGTTTAATGTTCTATGAAGACATTTTGTTCGTATTGTAAATATATCGAAACTTAAGTAATATGCCTTGATAAGTACTTAATTCTTAGTACTTAACCCTCAGACTTTAGATATTCAAATATGATCACATCCTAACAACTAAATAATTTTATAAAACTTTTTCTTTTTTTTTAGGCTGTTAACGTCATGTAAACAGCCCTTAAATATACACAAACTCACACAGCCCTGGGAAAACCTGTGCATTTATAAGATAGCTTGATTTTAAAAGTGTGATTTTAAGATCTGGAAAAATTATGTAAGTAAATTAAATCTTAAAATACATTTCAAAAATAATAACAACATATTTTATCAGGTAGATATGTACATAAAAATAGAATAAAATGTTAAAAACAACTTTTAAATCAGCTCTTAAAACCTTTAGAATTTTAATGTAACATTTACAGAAACAAGGAGTAAAAAGACACCTAGAGACACTCACCATACAGGCTTCTCTAGCAGCAGGGATGCCCGGGTCTTTCTCCAGGACAGTTTTGTAGTCCTCTAGAGCTTCATCCAGCTTGTCTGTCTTCTCGTAGAGTTCTGCTCTCCGTAAAATGGCACGGACATAATTTGGATTAAGTTCTATGGCTGTGGAAGACAAGACAATATACACTCAAGTACCTTTGTTTCAAATTACAGGATGCAGAAATGAAGATTTCTGTCAGAAAAAGTAAAAACAGACAGAAAATGAGTGAGTTTGAATCTTGAATGTGTGCAGGATTGAAACTCACCTTTAGAGCAGTCACTAATAGCGCCGTCTTTTTTATCCTGTTAGACAAAATTATGAAAAAAGTTATCATACAATATGAATGAATAAAAGGTGATTTGGAACAATGAAATACATGAAATCATCAAAAGTCATATAAGTAGCAGTTAAATGTTAAAATGTTACTACATTGAACTGATTCCAAAACAAAGGACAATTAATTACATTTAGCTAAAACAACAAAACTAAACTTTCCTTACTTTAAATAAAACAAATGTTAACTAGATATAATTTAGCATATTATTTCAGCTAGCTGCCATGTAAACATCTCTCAATTACATTTAAAATTAAACTAAAGTAACTTAAAATAATTATGTATATATAACAACTACTGAATTGACACAAAAATAATAAAGGCCTTATATATTTACTAAAACCATAAAACTATTTTTTGTAATAAAAAAATTATCAATTATTATAAATAAAATAATTGCTGAATACTATTGTGGTTCTTATAAGTTTATAATATATATAGAGAACCACAATAGTTATTCAACAATACTTTTATTCATATTAAAAAAACACTGTAAAAAAGGCAAAAATTAATTTTAATGCTAAAAGTTGTCTATTATCTAGAAGTGAATAAATTAAACTGCTATTTTATTATATTATTACTGGTGAATATATGAGTGGTGCAGTACAACAATCAAACACTATGTGTCCTCAGAGGACAATTCTTTAAACAAACATGTTTATAGTGCAAGATATTTCACCTGTACCTCTAGTACAGAAAATCAAGCAGAAACATAAAGTCTGTATATATATATATATATATATATATATATATATATATATATATATATATATATATATATATATATATATATATATATATATATATATATATAAACGATGATGAATGAACCTGATGCAGGCGTGAAGCAGCTCGATTGGAGAAGAGTATGGATCTGTCTTTAGTGAAGCAAACAGGACAGAGTTTCAGAGCGGCAGAGTACGACTCTTCAGCCTCCACATGCTCTGTAAACAACAACACAAACACTACATTTTTCAGATATGTCAAACATAATAAAAGGTTAACCTTAAAAAAAAAACTATTTATGAAGGTCATAAAAAGTCATGTGATCAATTTAAAAGAATAGACTGAATCTTACATTGTTACTTGCTGGAAGTGGAAGGGAAGATTGTGACGAAAATATTAATTCAATTAATACAACTCACTCAACAAACAACTCAATACGTCTGATCAAATGCTGATTCTAGAACTGTACTCTATAATTTAAAGTACCACAAAACATCTTTATCTGTAAATATCTTTGGCTCAACAAGGGTCAACTCTCGTGATCAAAAAATATATGAAATATTGAATTTGAAATAAATATTGCTTGAGAAGTTCTCAAATAAATATGACTCAAAGCTGAATTTTATTACTCGAGTGTCACATGATCCTGCAGAAATGCTTCTAATAAGCTGCTTTGCTTCAGCTTTCAAGAAGCATTTGAGGAGAACAGATGCAAAAACCTCTAAGTAGCGTCTAAAATTTTCATCGAAAATGAGCATTATTTTTAGCCTCTTTTGTTTGTGTTGAGTTATTTATTATTTATTTATTGCCACAACAGCAACTTACGGCTATTTCATGGCAAGATGGGAATACATAAAATATTACATGATAAAAACAAATTTGCATTACAATAAAAAGTTACTTAGATAAATATATAAAATATAAATGAATACAATTCACACAGAAATATATTCAAAGTTAAATACGATTTTTCTGTTCTATGTTTGATAAATAAATTTAGATTCTTCCTCGTGGTACCTTTTTAAAAATGTCAAAGTACTTTCCTTATAAAAATTTTGTCTAATTGTATTCAAACTTGTACATTCCAACAGAATATGTTTGATAGTAAGAGCAGCCTGGCAGTAAGTACATTTAGGTTGGTCTTCGTTATTGAGTGGATACAAATGAGTCAACCTAGAATCTCCAATTGGACATCTTGTATAGACAGTTTGATCATGCCTGGTCTCAAAAGTATACTTTGCTAAGTGTCTTTCATTTATTGTTGGGGTTTTTTTCATGTAATTTATTATTTATGCAGTTGTCCCATTCCCTTTGCCATGTTTTATTTATGTACAAATTAATTGTGGGTTTCAAGTCCTTCGAAGGAATTAAACATTTTCACATTTAAGAAGATAGGCTCTTTTGCTGCTTCATCTGCCAGTTCAATTCCATGTAGTTCCATATGGCCTGGAATCCAACAGAAGATAATGTTGAACTTCTTATTTTCTAGCGTTGTCCTTTTCTTTACATTAGAAGTTTTAAATGCTTGAAGACAGGATTTGGAATCTGTGCAGATTAAAAAGTTACGGTACTGTTCTAAAGTCTTATTTAATGCATAAGCTTCTGTGTAAATTGAGCTTTTTCCTGGAATCCGAGTAACAAAGACATCATCTTTAAAAAACTGCTGCTGCAGTTACTCCTTTGTCTGTTTTCGATCCATCTGTATATATGGGTTCATGATGAGGGAGACTGTCTGTTATTTGTTTGAATTCTTGTTTGTATTCATTTGAGTGAGTCAATGACTTCTTCTGTTTGGTTAGGTTCCATACGATTCTTATTTTTAAATTGCACCAAGGAGGAATATGGCTCAAATCTGATAAAGTGAAAAGTGAAAGCTTTTCCATATTAACACCCATATTCTTCAGGTGGGGTTTCATATGATTTCCAAAAGAACTGATATAGTTAGGTCTGTCTTCATACAATTCTAAATATTCAGGCTGGAAGACTGAAGGATAAGCTGGGTTATGTTGAGTTATTTCACTTTGAAGACCATAGAAAGATGTTATTCCTTGCCATAAAAGTGAAATTACTGAACCTACTCACAGGTGCCTGATAAAAAAAAAAGCTCATTTTAGAAGAAAAGTGCAGATAGCACTTAGAGGATTTTGTATCGGAACTCTTTAATTGCATTTCGTTATCGATTTTATGTGAAATAGAAATCTGAATTATTAGAAATGGCTTTAATGCAATTTTTTTTTTATTAATGTCCTCGTTCTTTTTTAACCTCTAAGTGCTTGATCTGTGCACTTCATTCACCACTATCTATTTACAATACAAGTAAACAGAAGTTACTGCTGATTCACAAATTAAAGGGACAGTTCACTATAAAATAAAAATTGCTTCCCCTTGAATGGTTCAAAAGCTTAAACACAGAAGAAAATATTTTGAAGAAAGCTGAAAACCGGGAACCATTGACTTCCATAGTTGGAAAAACAAATAATATATAAGTCAATGGTTACCCGTTTCCAGCTTTCTTTAAAATACCTTCTTCTTTGTTTAACAACAGAAAGAAAGCCCAAATTTTGAAAAAGTGAAGGGTGAATAAATGATGACTGAACTTTATTTTTGGGTGAACTATAGTGGCGTAACGGGACAAAGGAAAAGCAGTTTATCTTCCCTTACCTCCGCTCTTAAACTGTGCATTTCCCTTTTCCTTCAGCTCTAAACTCTCCTTTCTCCTGCTCTGCAATTTAAAGAAAGAAACGTTCATCAAAACCAACGGCAATTTCCTGAAATGTGGCACAAACTTTTATCAGAGCAAACCTCTCTGTCCTCCTCTGTCAGGTCTTTCTCCAGCTCGCGCAGGTATTCATCATCATACTCGGCTACTTTGACCGTCTCTTCTTTAAATTCAGCATCTGAATGTTCATCGTTCTCCCATTTCTCCTGCTCTTCGTCGTTGTCTTTGTCCAGATGTGGGTCTGACGTTAAAGAGTCCCGTCTGTTTTCATCGGACCTGTCAGAATGATCCAAACATGGTTTAGTGTTTTCTAGTCTCTCAGTTTCAGACCCAAAGTCCTTCTCTGTCCTTGCGTCTGCCTCCAGTCTGTCGTTTTGAGCCATTATAACATCAGAGTGTCTGACTTCTCCAGATAAAGTGTCCTCACAGTCGAAGAAATGGTCTTCGTCTTGGTCTGTAGTGGTTTCTGACACTTGCAAGGTGTTTGCCATGGCGGCCGAGAGCGTCTCAGACTCTTCCTCCATCTGGAGATGATATTTCAGCACAACCTGAACAGCAAAGAAGTGAAAGTGACCAATCAACTTTGCTAAACAATTGAAATTTACACATTATAGGGAATACCACAATGTTTGCATCTGCAATAGCCTCATCACAGTATCTGCAATGTTAAGTGAATGTAAATGTGTGAGTCACAGCAAAGTTTAACCATAACAGTGTGAAAGTTTTGCATTTCAATGTGTTTTTAGGGCTTGTGACTGTGTCACTGTATGTTCACACCAAAATCAGCGAGAGCGTTTAAGTATTTTCAATGGGAGCCGGTGGCGATAAGCGGCAGGGAGCAGCGCGGCGCATCTTCGCCGGTGTGAGTTGAAATCAAGTCAACTTTATGGTAATGAGCTATGATGCGGTTCTGCGGCAAGCAATCGAAATGTAGAAGTCCAGAGAACACAGACCTGTGAACTTTGGTTCCGACCACAGTTGTTCCCAATAGTTTGATTATTGCGGTCACCAGATTTCCAATTATTTGCAATGTTTTCTTACAGGGACATACATTAAAAAAAAGTTACTGGCGTGTTACTGATTTGCATCAATGTTATAAATATTTTCTTCTTTAAAAAAAATAAAATAAAATAATTAAGTGGAGCAAAGCCACACCACATGCAACTTGATCTTCACGCTAGAAAGCATGTTTTATGCAGAAATGTAGCTGAAATGATATGATATGTTGCAACGGCTCCTTTAAATATGAGAACAATGTAGCAAATTTTGAAGCTCACGCCACCAGAGCTGAAGGCAGACAGCGTTGTTGCCAGGGCAGCCAAAGCGATCTTTGATGCTCTCGCCACTTTTTGTGTAAATGCACAGTAAGGAGTTTAAAATATTCATGCAGAAGCATGAGTGTATTTACTCAATTATTTATGTAATGAGGACATTCATTCATTTTCTTTTCAGCTTAGTCCCTTTATTAATCTGGGATCGCCACAGCGGAATGAACCGCCAATTTATCCAGCATATGTTTTACGCAGCGGATGCCCTTCCAGCTGCAACACATCACTAAGAAACATCCATACAAAACACACTAATTCACACACATATACTGCGGACAATTTAGCTTACCCAATTCACCTGTAGCGCATCTTTTTTTAACTAACACTCACTGCAATAAGATGCTTCGATACAGATTATTAAGCTGAGGTTTAACTACAAAATTAAATTGCAAATCAAATCTAAATTACAATATCTGTGAAAAAAAAGAAATTGCAATTAGATATTTTCCCCACACAGCCCTACAAACAAACATATGATTATGGTAGACGATTACAGAACGATAATGCAAGCATGTAATACTTCTGAAATTGAATACCTCATGCTTTTTTTTTTACTAACATGAATAACTAAATTTACCTAAAGTGAAACACTTTAAAAAGATGTCAAATTTGAGTTTTTTGGCCCCCTTTGGATTTCAGGTGATGCAAAGAATCCTTCCAAATTATGCATTAATGGGTTATATAGACACACTTGAACTATTCGTTTCTGAAGATTTCGATTAGAATACATATTTTTATTAGATTGTTTAGCAGAATGAATATTTTATTTTTTACTGAGACACAAATCTCCATTTTTGCAGCATCTAGATAACACCTCTATTTCATTCATATCTGTATTTTAATGGTTTTTACATCGGATTATGTTTGTACATAATCTGCCTGATTGTATATGTTATTCTACAAATAATTGGGAACATTCTTTTTTTTCTGTTACAGTATTTTTCAACTATTAGGTGATGTGTAACTTGCCAAAATCCTCTCTGAAAAAATCATTTGACAATAATTTTGATGCTGCATAACCCAATGTTTGGATAATGGTTCTAGAAATCTGCAACTTTATACTTATTTAACTAAACAATGCCTTATTTGCATGTTTAAACACAATATTTTAGTTAGAAAACTTCAAACTGTTAGCAATTCTCAATCTAATTAAACAGTTGAAAAAGAGTGGGGAGAAATATTAGGTTTTTATCTGCAGTTGCATGCCTTATGTTTATAGATTATTTCTGTATGTTTTATAAAGCAATCATTAAAACATACTTCGGTTTAGATATCCATACACAGCGAAATGCACTTAAAGATTACAAAATACTTTGCTAAACTGGTTTTGACTCGACATATTGTGTCTATAAATGTAATGCTTCAGACTTCGTAACATTTCAGTTACACAATAATGATTCTACAAGAACGTAAAAACCACAACAACATTATGAAGTGTAGAAGCTTATGTTAATGCATTCATAAAACAACTATCAGCCAAAACATACTGATAGCACTTGTGTTATCAGGACTCGTTTCTCCCCCTCAGCTCTGCGCATTGTCAACACGCTGGCATTATTTTAAAAGTTTCGTTTGCATGTACGTTAAAATTTACGACAATTCTGAAATACATATTTAAATAGCACGTTTCAGATTAAACAACAATCACTTCCTTACCTTCTAGAAATGAGCCATAACGTGTCTTCCGGTAAATCGCGCACTGGGTGACGCACAGATAGCAGTGGATTCTGGGATATGGAGTAGGTTGAGTACTTGTTCTTTGTTATACATTTTACATATGATAATGCGTAAATTATTGCATGAAGTAATATTTAAAGAATTAAATAAAATGTGGACTATACAAGTGAGTTGTCTTCATCATAATATACACTACAAGTCCATCCCCAAATAAGTTTTTAAGATATGATAAAAAATATTAGCCTAAGAATATACCTTTGCAAACTTAGTGAAGGAACAAATAAAATATTCAACGATAACTTTCCAAACAATTGATCTTAAGATAGAAAATGGTCACTTTACAGATAGAAAATGCTCTTTTTTGAGAGATAATCTAACACAGGTTTGTTTTCCAGGACCTGTTAAGAGAACTTATATTTTGTCTCATTATGATAAGAAAAATGTGTATGGCATTAGGGAAAAATTATTTTATATCCTGTTATTCCTAAATTTAAAGAAGTGCATTTTAAAATTATGACTCATATTTATCCTTCAAAATAATTTCTAAGGTTAAAATTAAATATTAATGACTTAAATGTATGCCAATTTAGTAATAATAATAATAATAATAATAATAATAATAATAAAATAATAATAATAATAATAGTTTTTTCTTATATAGCGCCTCTAATACATTCACAAAGCGCTTCACACAAAAGGACACATTTATAAAACAGTTTAGAATAACAGTAAAATTGAATCATTCAGGCTAAAACATTCACCATTGATAAAGCATTCAAGTATCAAGAAACATAAACCATAAATGCACACCTCATGAATAGGCAAGTGTAAAGAGTTTTCAAGGATGATTTAAAAATGTAAAAGATTCAGCGTGTCATGGGGAAGAAAGTTCCAGAGCCTCGGAGCCAGAGATGCAAAAGCCCGGTCACCTATAGAGCGCAGATGAGTGGAGGGGACTGTTAAAAGACCAAAGTCAGAGGAACAGAGGTCACGTGAAGGTGACTACCAAGTTAAGAGTTCAGACAGCTAGTGTGGAGTCAAACCATGCAGGGCCTTATATGTAAGCATGAGGATTTTAAAATCAATACGAAATCTGACAGGCCAATGGAGAGATCCCAAAGGAGTAATGTGTTCTCTGATTTTAGTCCCTGTCAGAAAACTGGCTGCTGAGTTTTGAATATATTGTAGTTTGTTGATGCTACTTTTGGAAACACCAGCTAGTAGTAAGGCATTGCAATAGTCTAAGCGGGGGGGGGGGGGGGTGGGGGGGGGGGGGGGGGGGGAATTAAAGTATTGATCAGTTTTTCTGCTACAGAAAAGGACAGCATGGGCCGGATTCGTGAAATGTTTTTGAGATGAAAAAATGTCTTTACTGTGGACAGCACGTGGGGGTCAAATGTTAGATTTTTGTCAAATATTACCCCCAAGTTCTTTAGTTTGGCCTGAACCTCCACAGCCGAGCCATCTAGGTTAATGTTATGAGGTTTAGTTTAACTTAGTTGGTTGGAATAACCTCTGTCTTGTTTGTGTTCAGGCACAGAAAATTTTGGCACATCCGTTTTTTTATCTCTAAAATACAGTGTTCCAAATGTGTAACTTCTGAAAAATCACCAGGTTTGGTGGGAATGTATATCTATAATTTAGATAATGAAACAATTGAACACTTGTTTTTCCAAAGTAACTTGGTACAGACATTTTGGAATGAAGTAAAAGTTTGGATTCAACAGAAAATATCTGTAAGACTAATCTTCTCATAGGAAATAATTAAGGCTTAATAATTAAGGATAAAAAAGATATCTTCTATAATGAATAATTTGTTGATATTATTAAAATGATATTCATAAATGTAAATTTTTCAAAATTTCCCCAAGATTGTGGTGTTTATATAAAAAATTTTGATATATTTGAAGCATTAAGAGAAATGGAAAGTCAAAAAGCAAGATATTTATATTCAGGAATTTGGTTTCATATTTTGAGAACTTCAACTCCGCTGTTACTTAATTTTTTATCATTTATTTACTTTATAAATTTTAGTTATTTTATTCATGTATGTATGTATTATAAATGAGGATGGAAAGATTGTAAATGTACAGGGATTGTCATCTCAGTCTTTTGTGTAATTATAGAAAACAATTAAACATATATATATATATATATATATATATATATATATATATATATAGTTAATAAAGTATATACAGTTAAAATCAGAATTATTAGCCAGCAGTTTATTTTCCCCCAATTTCTGTTTAACGGACAGCAGATTTTCTCAACACATTTCTAAACATAATAGTTTGTTAACTCATTTCTAATAACTGATTTATTTTATCACAGCTTAAAGTGACATTTAATGGCTTAACTAGGTTAATTAGGGTAACTAGGCAGGTTAGGGTAATTAGACAAGTTATTGTATACCCATGTTTTGTTCTGTAGACTATCGAAAAAATAGCTTAAATGGGCTAATAATATTGACCTTAAAATGTTGTTAAAAAATTAAAAACTGCTTTTATTCTAGCAAAAATAAAACTAATAAGACTTTCTCCAGAAGAAAAAATATCATTAGACATACTGTGAAAATTTCCTCGCTGTGATAAACATCATTTAGCAAATATATATATAAATCAAAGGGGGGCTAATAGTTCTGACTTCAACTGTATATATATATTTTTTTTATTTAGATATTTTATTGTTATTAACAATGTTTAAACAACAACAGAAAGGCATTAATATATTAATTAAATTAACATAGCAACATATATAACAAAATGACTGTTGATAATGATTTCTATATTTGATTTAATAAATACATAAATAATGAATGTAATAAATATCAACAAGCTAATCATTATTAATAAGTAATATATTCTTGGTGGGATTTTATAACAACAGAAGAAAATTATATGTAAATAAAAAATAAATAAATATAATAATAAAAAGATGATTAAACATCGTTTGGGATAAATTTGCTGGAAATATCTCTGATGTAACGCAGTAGACTGTAAGGATTAAAAAATATTAAACATTAAATTTTGATTGTGCAAAGAGAAGCGTCAAAATCATGAGCGCGAGTGCGCTAGTGGAGCTGCTGGGGGATGCCTCACCAGCCAGATGTAATTATGTCTTTTGGAGCACCGTATCTGGAATTAACCTGACTAATATACACAATATGTAATAGAAAAGGTCCAGAAGAGTATATTCATGATGGTAAATCAATGTATAAAGCTGCAGAGAAAGAGAAAGTGAAGGCGGTAAACTCGGAGCTCCCTGGCTGCTGCAGCGAGTTATGCAAACCCACTGGTCAGTTTGAAGACCTTCTTTGAGGAAACACTGCTGCAAATGTCAGTGACGGAAACAAATAGACCATTAAGAATACACATTTCATGAATTAAAAATGTAATTTCTTTGAATGAGAGCGCAAGGACACACCAGCCGCAACTGCAACTAACCAGTGGCTGGTCACTTGATCAGACAGTTGGAGACTGGCGGCTGCCACCAGCCACTGCCAGGTCACGTGACCCGCCACTGCAAGCCAGTTGAAGATTGAGCCCCGACCAGGTAAGTTTAGCCTTTCAAATTTATGGATTAATATTTGAGTTCTGTATTAAATTAAGTTAGCCATAAATAGTTGAGAATTGATTGGTGTTCAGTTACACCCATTGTAGTGATTCGCTTGAATCATGAGTGAACAGAAAAGTGACGGCCGAGGCGATCTAACGTTATTCAAACTCGAGCTGTTATTTTCTGAGGCAATAATTACAATACATGATTTATTTGAACCAGATTTATAGGTTTTCATGACATGACACAGTTCTTTAATCACTATACATATCATTTGGTGTTAATTAGAGGTAAGTTATCATGTTAGTTTGTTGCCGTTTATGTGATCAACGTATTTAACGTTACTGCAACGGAAAAAGATTTGAATAGCCCCAGATCTGACGTAATATGCTCTAGTCTCATAGATATATAGATAGATATAGATATATACATATATCTATGCTGTAGTAAACTATCGTTACGTGATAAATTATTGTCGATCTCACAAAACAATGTCATATATATATATATATATATATATATATATATATATATATATATATATATATATATATATATATATATATGTGTGTGTGTGTGTGTGTGTGTGTGTGTGTGTGTGTGTGTGTGTGGTGTGTTCTTTTTTAGTCAAACGACACAACGAACTGATAGCTTTTAGTAACGTTAATCGATTTTTATCGATTTAATCGATTCGTTATTGCAGCCCTAATATATAAATTTATATATTTATAAATTAGGTTTTCTTCATGCATCTATCTGTTTCTTTTCTATTCAACTAGTTGGTTTGCATTTGCATTCTCTCTCTCTCTCTCTCTCTCTCTCTCTCTCTCTCTCTCTCTCTCTCTCTCTCTCTCTCTCTCTCTCTCTCTCTCTCTCTCTCTGAAAAAAATAAATCTAAGCCTAAATTTGTTTTAAGTGTTGAAATATCTAGAACTTTATCATCCTGGAACTCCTGTAAATATATTATTTCCTGAGTCCCCCCCCCCCAAATTCTTTACTCTGGAAATCTTAAGGTACAAATGGTAAAGAAAATACACATATGAAACTCTTACATTGTTTAGTTTAACTGAATATATTTTTATGTATTGTTGTTTTGTCTCACTTAGATGCTGATACAAAAGCAGCTTGCCTGCAGCATCTAAAGTGGAAACATCGTGAAGGAAAGAGCAGAAGATCGGTAATCAGGTATAAATATATTGATGCCCCTGAGAGGACTGATTTACGTAATAACTTAATGTTGTATTTAGTTGTTCTTTTTTATGTATATATTAGTGTTGGGCGATATACAAAACTTTCAAATCGCCATATCGCCCCCCTGTGAGATCGGCGATACACGATACTATCGCATGGGGGCTTGGCAGTGTTTATATATATGTTATATATACAGATGTTTTTTTCAAATACAATAAATCCCTTAAAATATAATTTGCATTGGTGCTCATTAATTTT